AATTGGAGAACTAATGAAGACTCGGAGGACTAGCAACAATATCAACCGGTCAAGAATCCAAAGTACGAAGATCGAAGATAGCACTCGGAGGACTTGTTTACTTTTTCAAGTTGATGATTCTCACAACTTAAAAAAGTGGAGGACTTATTGATGGGAAATAATACGTGGCTCGGCCCACATTTCCCAATTATTTTACGAAAAATAGTCAAACCGGGCGTGTTTAATAAAATAGAGGAATAAAAGAATATTCCTCCAAAGATGCTCCAGCTATTCCTATAAAAGGAGGGCTCTCCCTCAGTGTTAAGGGAGGCCAAATTTACACTCTCCCCTGCCATTCACTCTTTCTCTCTCTAGATAGCATATTTTCTTCTTCTTCAAGAGCTTCTAGCTCTACCATTAATGGCTTCCGAGCCCAACTCTTGTACCATGTACACACCCCCGATATTAATAAAAATCCCCCGTTGGCAAGGCACCGCCAAAAAAGGCCCGTGATTTTCTCCCGATTTGGGTTTCCACGTAAAAATTCCCGTGTTTATATTTTGGTGTATTTTTTAGACTAGTTTATCGTTTTAGCCGGGCTAAAACGATATACCGGTCGATAAAACGATATCGATTCCCTTCTTCGTTCTCTTTCTTCAGCCGGGCAACCTCCGAAGGAGACCCCATCCCCAGCTGCTCAACTGCATAGGGCCCGATCTCCCCTTTCTGCACAAGCAAAGAAACCGGTAAAATTATTACAAAAAGTAACCCGAATTCAACCGGGGTAGGGAAAGGCCTTACCTCTTTCAGCCTCAGGCCCAGGTTGACAAAGGCCTCTTCAATGGTCTGGGAGGCCGGCTCAGATTCCGACCTCGCCCTCTTCTTGGCATAAGAGGGGTGGGTTGTGGCCACCTTCTTCTGACGACGACCGGTCTTTTCCTTGCCCGTCCCCTTTGACCGGTCGGGGTGGGGCTCATCGTCGTCCAAATCATGAACTTCCACGGTCTCGGGTTGGACCGTGAAAGTCTTGGCAGTACCGGTCTGAGAACCACCGGTCTCTCCTTTTGGCTTATCTTCGGGCATGGCATACTCCTCGAACTCCATATCTGCAAGATAGCTAAAATCGTTAAGTACGAGAGACGTGACCGGTCAAAGAACAAAACGAAATAAGAATATAAGTACCTGGGTGGTTCCGGCCCTCGGCCTCTGCAGTGTTGCCCGGGGAGGGTACCCCGCGCCCCGCTGCTTCATGGGCCTGGGAGGTACCCTCACCACCCGACTCGACCCTCCAAACCCAGCTGCCGTAATGAAAAACCCTCCCGGTGAAAGGATCTCCGCGCATGAGGACCTCGAGACTCGCTTCCAAGTCAGGAGCGGAGGCCGGTGCAGCGTACTCTTGATTAAGCAGATGGTCGTTCCATTTAAGACCGGCCAGGGGAGTGACGAAAGGGGGAAACTCGATGAAAACAAACTTTTCCTTCCACCCCCGGTTACTCTGGGGGACTTCGGAAATAAACTTCCTACCGGTGCGGCCT